ATCCAAAATTAAATTCAATTAATATATCAATATTTGGCTAACTAGTAGAAAATTTAATTATCAATTTTTAATTCCAAATTAAATAAAAAATTTTAAATCTCAAAAATTTTAATTAAAGATTCGTAACCCTGTTTATACATATGTATATTTTTTGAAAATTTCCTAAAGTTTACTTTAGAAATTTCAACAACTTCGCTTAACAAGTTAAGTGACAGATGTTCCGCCAAATCTCTGTGCACCATCAGAAATTGCTTTTGAGAATATTAAACTACAATTACAAGCACACTTACATATGTACATACATATTCGTACAATATTCAATATAACATACATACATATATTAAATACTAAATATTGATTTACTTAAATGTGGCTATATTTAATTATTTTGTTTTTAATTACCTTGCTAAAATATGTTTTCACTATGATTCACATACGTCACTCCAACTCACTCCACTGCACTCCACTTCTTTCCTCTCCAATACACATTACAGCGGTATGTTTACCACTGCTGTGCTTGTTGTTGTTGTTGTGCTACAACACCACCCACACCGGCGCCGCCATAAAGGAAACTCGATTGTCTTATCACAGATACCGTTGCCGCAGCCACTCCGGCTTGCGGTGGTGGTGCGGGTGCGCGATGCTTCTTCACACCCAAGGGAAATAATGGTTGTGCTGCCTGTTTGCGTGCCACACCGCTTGCTACAGCTAGTGGTGTTGTATCTGTGGAAGCTCCTGCTGTTGTTGGTGTTACAGTGTTAGTGCTTTCCCCATCAAAATTGTTGTTGTTGTTGTTTATGTTAGTAGCTGGAAGTGGCGCTATATTATAGGACAAAGAAATTTATTTTTCGAAATATGCTCAATGATGTTTTTTATAATGATTCTATTTTTACTAGCAATGCATAAAATATGGTGTGAGCGTCTAAAAATATGCCTTGGTTAATCAATTAAATTTAAGTGTGTCGAAATTAACGCTTACAACCTCTAAATAAATGTTTTTTTTATTAATGTTGTAGTTCGAAGTAATAATAAACAACATTAAAGATAGTTTTCAACTGAGTTCTAAACAATAAAGATACAATCAATGACAAGTAAGTGTTAAATGTTTAGACGGGAATATGTGGTTGTTGTTGTTGGAGCAGCTGAACCACGGTTAGGTAGAAAGAAGTTGCTCAATATAAACGTCTACACAGGAAATTCTCCACAAAAAACTAATAGGTTAAAATATAGAATGGAGTCACACATGGGCTGATGCATCCAACCATGACGAGTTGGATGGGTTTAGCCATGCCCATCTGTTTTTCTATTCGTTTGTAAATACGCAACTTTAACCCACAGGTTTTGAAATATCGATTTGAAAATTACACACGCCCTTTTCACTCCAAAGTACGGCTCATTTGTCGATACTTCAGACGATACCTCAGACCAAGTTTTTGTATGGAGACCTTTTATATTTTATTATAAGATATCTGGCATGAATTGTTGATCCTTTCATTCCCTTTTATTCTATAAAAAATTACCCTGTGAAGGGTATTATAGCTATAATTATTAATATTATTATTAAATAAAAATTTTTGAAATGACATAAAATTTAATATTTGACACGACTCCAAAAGTTTTAGATGCGCACAAACATATTTTTAAATAATATAAACTCTAACTAAGCTCAAAGTTCTGTACTCTAGACAATATTTCAAACAACATGTAATAATTATATTATATATTATAATAATAAATGCTAACATTGCACATTCCATATAAATTTGTTGTCAAACAAATGAAATCGTTCAATCTTTACATAAAAAAGTATATGTATGTACGTTTGTGCACGCAGTACAAATGAAAGAGTACAAATGAAGTAGTAAGTAAAATGAATTGATAATTTTTATTCACAAAATTTCTTTTATACATTTTTTTTTTGTTTCGCTTATTAAAGAAACAAACAAAAACGGGAATACTAAAATTAAAATTAAAATTAGATGGACATACATTTATGTTTAAATATACAAATATAAATGAGGGAGGAAATACTTACATATAAATTTATACATAATACAAATTTACATACAAAGTTGCATGCTAACAAAAAAACTGTTGTTTTTTATTATATATTAAAATAACTATAATCGCTTTATATATTTTATATGTTTATTTTACTAAATTTTTATGCATTTAGGCTGGTAGTTAGCGAATTGACTTGTACGAAGCTAGTGTGGAGTATGCATAAGAATGATTGCTACAAACATAAAAAATAGATACTTCATTCCTTTCTGTATTATATGTTATTAAAAATTTTAGTATACAGTTACTAAATTAGTGTGTGTAAACGACAATAAGTGATAATTGACTACTTTATTTATAAGCTTCGTAAATATTAATTTATTTTTTTCTCTATATATTATTATTGAATTTTATGCTTTTAATTAATTTTTTCATATATTATTATTTTTATATTTCGCATTGCTATGAGCTTTAATTATTATTTTTAGTATATTATTAATATTACATTAAAACAAGTGGTTTTACAGGTAAATATTATAAAAATATAAAGCTATATAATTTTTTTCACTTCAGTTTGTAAAAAAAATATGAATTTAAACAAGGATCCGGCTGTGGGTGTGCCGAAAAAAAATTATTTTCATTTTAAATTGACTTTCTTATAAAAAATAGTTTTAGGATTTTTTTCTTTTGCAACGAAAACTCTATTTAAAAGATCCTTTTATGTCTTGTACTACTGTGCCCCTTTAAATAGAAGTGGCAAATAGCATGCTTGCGGCGCTTAGCAGTGTTTGTGCTTCGTATGCTTAGAATTACATACATATATATATATATATATATATATGCATATTTTTCGACACACCCACAATTACGCCTGTTTAACTCAATTTTAAATTTAAAATTTAGTTCATTTATTTGTAATACAAAATATTTAGTAAATTTATGAATTTAATATTTTCTCTAATATAAATAGAATAAAAAAAAAAATTACATATATATATATATATATATGCATATTTTTCGACACACCCACAATTACGCCTGTTTAACTCAATTTTAAATTTAAAATTTAGTTCATTTATTTGTAATACAAAATATTTAGTAAATTTATGAATTTAATATTTTCTCTAATATAAATAGAATAAAAAAAAAAATTACATATATATATAACCTGTCTCTTATACACATCTAGATGTGTATAAGAGACAGCTTTTTTAATTTTTTTAATTTAATTTCATTTACACTATATTTGAAATTAATATTTTATTTTATTTTATTAATTGAAACACGAAGTTTAGTCGGTATAACATCTGTCTCTTATACACATCTAGATGTGTATAAGAGACAATGCTTGCTTTTTTTAAACTATTAAATATTAATTTGTAAAAACGTAATTTCATTTATATAATTTAGAGAAAAATTTAATTAAGTAATATTTTTTATATTATTTCACGTCGGCAATACCAACTATAAATCAAAAAAGACTTTTGAAGTTATTTAATATAAGAATTATTAACAATTGTATGCATAAAAATAATGAAATATTTATTTTAGTATCTTGTATTTTCATATTTTTGAAACTATTTGTTTAATTATTGAAACTACTAAATTTACTATTTTTTTAATATTTTGAATTTTAATTTCATTATTGCTTTTAAAACTTAATTTACTATATAACAATTGCGTGAAAAATTAATAAATTACTCAGCGCTTATTGCCGTTTTCAATAATTTCTGCTTGTTACACAACAATTCATATATATTAAAACAGAAATATTTCAGAAATTCATACAAAATACCAATAAGTTTCACAAATTCCATAAAAAAAACCTATTAATTTAAATTAGAGAAAATCATGTAAAATGCTTTTTTTTAATATACATATATGGTTTGAACTTTATATAAGTTAATTATTAATTCTTATTGTTTACTAAAAGAAAAAAATGAAACTTCAATCGCATTCCATACACAGCATTTGCATAAGCATTCCAAATAAGTAACTTAAAAGCTTGGATTTAAAATATGAAAAGTACTTTTTGCATTAAAAACAGAAAGTGTAGAAGAAAAGTTGACTTTCGCACGTGGGAGCAAACGCTGCTAGATTACGCGCTAAACTACTACGGCGTATGCATTCACCATATAATATTTTTGTTGCTTTGTTTACAATATGCTCGCACCCATTTGCGCGAATTTTACAATAAATTCCATGGTCACTACTATGACCTGACCTATACGATTGTCTTGACTGTCTGCTTGCGGTCTGTCTGTCTAGGCTTGCACGCTCTTACTAACTAGCCTGTGTGTGACTGCTTTTTATATCCAGCCAGCTGGCTTGCATTTGCATATAACTACAAAAACTAACATAAATATTTAACTTTTGTTCTTGTTCACTTTAAACAGCCACACAGCTTTTTTGTCTTCTTCTTCATCATCTTCTTCTCGTCCCCATATATTTACATACCATTCGCTTTGGCCGTATAGACTTTTGGAATATTTAGAAACGGTGGCGGTTTTGGGAATTCGGTGACATTGTGGAAGACGAAACGGGATTCCAAATCGGTGATTAAACGGCTGACTGAATTGGCGTGCGTTAGATTACCAACATTGTTTCCGAACATGGGCATATTGTTGTTGTTGGCTGTTGGCGGCGTTACAGGTGCATTGGCGCGTATGGAAGAGTGTCGTTGTGGCGGCACGGGTGCCACGTTATTGCCAGTCTGTGGGCGGAAGATTAAAAAATAGTAAATGGTTTATTAAAATATAAATACAAGCTTTAATTTACGCAGTTACAAAAAATAAAACCTAAAACTAAAATCGGTTTGAATTTTATTTTTGTTGTGCCTGATGAATGCGTTAACATTGAAAGCAGTTACTAAGTCACAATGAATATAAAAAACCGTAAAAAGCTATATATGTATATCTGCTCTAAACACTTGTAAATACTCAGCACAGTTACTGAAATTGCATAATTACAACACGTTTGTAGTTCAGCAGCATTCGCGTAACAGCAAAAAACGGTATTTGTTGCAAGAATATTACGTCTTATCTGCTGAAACGCAAATTCTTCAAATTCCGTTACAAATTATTGATTGTTTTACGCCGAAATTACGTTGATTTTTAATAATTAATCAATGCCACATTAGAATGTGCCATCACTTTAGGAAATCAGTGTATTTCAATTTTTTCCAGCTGCTGCGCCTAAAATTATACTATTGCTTTATGCGTTGTCTGACTGTCACAATGCCAAAATTTCACGCTGCTACAGATTTTGTTTTGCTATTTTACTTTTGTGTAGATATGTCATGCCCACACATACTCGCATGCACACAAAACACACATACACGCTTGATTATTCTGCGTAAAGCCACCTGACGACGTTCACATTCCTCAGAGGCAAATGAAATTGAGTGATACATATAAAATGAGAGAGAGAGAGAGCACGCAGCGAGAGAATGTAAACAGGACAATTACAAAAATACATGGGTTTATACGTGTGCAGTGGAGCTTTACTGCTATGCCAACAGAAGTAAACCTATATACGTCAAAGGAAATGTTTCTCCAATGTTCACATTATATAAAGTACGTTTTATTATTGTATTTGGTATTTTGTATGTTATTTTGGTATTTTGCATGTACATACACTCGTGGTCATGCAAACCTTACCACTAAAAACTTTCCAGTATTGTGCATATTTGACAACGTTTTATTGCGGTACTTCTTGCGGCAAATAAATTTTTTATTTAGAAATAAGTTAATGACATGTTATTAATCAATAATATTAAAAATGAAAAACAAAACACATTCAGCTATAGATAAATTAATAGAAAGTAGTGAGCTTTACAAAATAAGCTCGAAATAAAAGAGACTGACAAGCGTTGAAAAATTAAATTTTTAATTTTTTTAATTTAATTTCATTTACACTATATTTGAAATTAATATTTTATTTTATTTTAATTGAAACACGAAGTTTAGTCGGTATTACTTTAAAAACAATAAAATTGTCCGCTTTTGTATAGAAACAGAAAAGCTAATTTGTCTTTTACTCATTAAACGTAATAAATTAAAAACTATAATTATAATTAGATAATATAATTTAGTTTATTAATGCTTACCAAAAACATAATAATAATAAAATTGAAGAAAATCCAGAATGAACGAAGAGTCCGAAAAAAAAGTAAAGTGGTAAGGTTTACGTGGCCACGAGTGTATGCATTTATGACCTTTCAAAACCCATTCACAAAGTAAAATAATATGTTTCTTTAACAAGACCAGGTAGGGGTTGAATGGTGATACCAAATAAGCGTAGCCTAACAAATAGAATATTGGCCTACATTCTTATTAAAAGCATTATTTATATTTATATACATGTATATTTATACAGAGAATATTAATTGAGTGATGGGGAACCAGCTGGGTACGTTTGATAGTAATGTCACTTTCAAACTAAAATTTTGATAATAACAACTTGAAATTCCGACATTTTTAAAAGCTTTCCTAGAGTAAAAAAAAATGTTTACAACACAAAGCTTGTTTTTGATGGATCAGTGAAAATATCTTGCCAAACCGTTCCCACGGAACGGATCCGGATTTTTATCCGGTCAAGGACCGTCAACTCGACGCGATGCGGCAATTATCGCACTTTAGTTAACTTAAATTTTTATATAATAAATAAAATTAATATTGTGTCCATAATTTTATGATTACATTCTACATTTTACATAACATGACACATGAAAGAAGCTCAGAAGCTTCAGAATTGTTGTAGTAGTCACTATTTAAGTATTGCTCTTGGATACAAATATAATTTGTAATTATTAGATATTTTGACACTGTAAACAGTCAAGGCTGTTCGAACTACATAAAGAGAAGCACAGAACTGTTAACGTGCCTTTACAAATAAAATATTCTATGAAATTCATTGAAAGAGGGCACAGACACAAGCAATCGAGAAAAAGTTACATTTCGCTTCCCGAAAAGCACTCAGCTAAATGTAAAATTAATTTCCATGTGAGCTTCAAACTGTTGCAGTCTAACTGTATTTAGTACATGTGCTTTATCAATTCTATTTTGCTAGCACTTCATCAAATTTGTTTTCGAAACTAATTAGGACACCTTGGGTATTCAAAGAACATAAAATAATTCAATTGGTCATTTAACGTAGAAAACTGTAGTAAGCTACTTACATTACTCGTTTGACGTAGCGGCGGTGGGGGCGCTTGAACTGTTCGATGTGGTGGCAGTGGTGGCGCATTCAATGGACCACCATTCAATATGATTGCTTTTATGGGCTTTTCTCGACTCGGCCCTTGCCTGCTGCCGGGGCTACCTGGACTGCCCTGAGTGCTGCTACTACTGGACGACTTCATATTGGCAGCAACAACACTTGCTGTTGGCGGCAGTGGTGGTGGTGGTGTTGCATTTGTTGTGCTACGAAATTGATCCCGCAACGCCGACACACTACTGGTGGAAGAAGAATTGGAAGGTGGTTGCGTTGTGGTGGGCGATGAGTAATTATTACTGTTTACGGAAGAGATAAGTGTAGTGTTTACAGCGCTATATGGTATGGTCACATTGCCATTGGCACTTTGGCCTCCCACAATACTATTCAGATTGGAATTGGAGACGCTGCGCGCCGGTGTTGGCGGAGGCGGTGGTTTGACTGATGGCGGTTTCGGTGGTGCTACTGTAGGGCGACCTGTGAAAAAAGGATGTAATTATTATATTTTTTTTTTACTTCATTTTTATTTTAGCTTACCAATTGATGGGTTTGGCGCTGGACGCATGCCGCTGCTGTTGATTGCTTCTTGCGACTGATACAGTTGTGCGAGTGGTGCGCGCATTGTGCCGAAGTGTTGTTGGGAGGGGAATATGGGCGCACCTGGCGCTGCAATTGGCGGTGATCTGTGGAGCAGAGTACAAAAAGTGCTGTTGAGCAAATTATAGAATACAGTCTCGATTTAAAGTGCATTCGTTTAATTGTTATTAAACATGTGGAACATTAAATACTTGTATGCAGCTGACAGCGGTCGGTTGTTGGAAAAAATTTCTTGTGAAAGCAGAGAATATTTACTTCTTTTTCTATAGTTTGTTTCTAAATCGACCGAAATAAATATATTTGACTGCTGTTTTAAAAATAACTAATTACTCAAATTCTTAATATTTTCGAACTTGTTATTATTATTTTGGAAAAAATATATTTTTGGGAAAATTATATTTTTTAGTTAACCTTTAATTTAAATATGAACCATTAGCTGCAACTTGTATCTATATGATATTTTATATTTAAATATTAACCTTAAAATAAGTTACTACACCCGTTAAAAAATATGAAAAATTATATTTGCATTATTTGGTTGCGTGTTATCATTATTTAAATGTCAATCTGTAAATAGGCTACTAAACCGACAAAAAATTATATTTTCATTCTAACAAAATCGGTATTTTTTTATGTTTTTAACGTTGATGGCGTTTTCCAACCGCAATAAAGCATATACTGGTATGTATAATATAAGAAATTTAAGAAGCTTATAAATTTAATATGATTTGTTGATATTAAAATTATCTTCGAATTTATTAGGTACGGTGACTATCTTTTTTTTAAACTATTTTATTTGTTTTTAGTTCCACATTTCGAGCCTTTTTTCATATAACGGGATCATCAGAAGTACATATTCACTATTGAAAATCGAAATCTATCTATCTAGTTATGAAATAATGATACAAAAAATTAAAGAATGTAAATGTCCAACATTCGGTTCATTCATTAATGATATTCTTCCACTAAAATTAAATAAATCAAATAATTAAACAAGCAAAAAATTAAATAATTTAAAGGATCAATCTTTAATTGACTCAAGAAAAAAAAACTATAGGAAACTGATTATACTAAAAATAAAAAATGAGCTCTACAAAGGTATACACATTAAGTTAAAATAAATATATGTTTAGGCACACTTTTCTACTTTTTCCCTAAATGTTTCTATAGTACAGAAAAAAACGTTAAAAAATTTCCCCAAACAAAGTAAATTTAACAGCCACAATTATGTCGTGTTTATATGTTTCAATGTACGTAACTCGTAAATGATAAATTTTTTACTTTTAAAGAATAATATAAAATACTCTTTATACTGAATGATTCTTAAGTTAAATAAAATATATATTACAGTATTTACAAAAATTTTTCGAATAGCCCAATGTACTAAATTCATAAATTTTTTTAAAACTAAACACAACCATATGAAGTATAATGAATATCAAAGGATATAATTACATAAAATGAATGTTACGATGCTTCCCTGTTAGTTGAAAGCCCACACTTTTTTGATTATTGACTATTCGAAACCTGACTGCGTGCCATAAAACACTAAACCTAAGTTTTCATGGAATTATTTGAAGCATTGCACGCAGCTACTTTAATGTTATAAAATAGTTTTGTTATTCTTGTTGCATCTGGTATACCTTGGCGACTTCATGCTATGATGGCGCGACACGGTCGTACGTTGACTGCTCGCCAACGCCAATTGCTGTAATCCTGGCGGTTTGGGCGCAAAATTCGGTTTTCCATGATTCGGCACCGGCTTCAAACTTGGCGTCGGCGACTTATTAGTCGGCGTAGTCGTTGATGCTGCGGTAGGGGTGGCAAGCGAATTGTTACTACCTGTTGCAGAAGGGCCAACAGCGCTATTTATGCCATTCGTGCCGAATAATGATGATTTGTTCGGTAGGATATTGCCTCGGCTAGGCGCAGGTGATGTTTGCTTTTGCTGTTGGAATTGTGTTGCTTTCGACAGTGTACTGTTCAGGCTGCTTTTGTAGTTTAAATGGTTTGTTGTTGTTGTGGTAGTTGTGTTGTTGATTGAATTATAATTGTACGAGGTCGTTGTGGTTGAAGAAGAGTTTGTATTACTACTTTTATTATTTACAACATTTGAATTTGTTTTGCCTAATGTTAAACTGTTGAAAAAGAAAATATGTATATATGTAGGTATAAAAGCAAAAGCAAATAAATTAGCGTTCGAAAAGAAAAAATATAAACACAAGAAAGATGTATAAAAAAACAGCTACAATGGTTAGTAAAAGTTAGCATACGGAAAAAAGTAGATATGCATACGTCAATGGAAATATGTAGTTATATGTATGTACAAAAGAAAAGTCAAAACTTGTCATCAGATTTTTGAGATAATATTTTTGAAATGTCAACGGTTAATTGAAAGGCCTTATTTTAATTATATAATGTTGTGGTACTTGAGATGCTTCTTCTTGCGACAATATATTTTTAATCTCTAATGTAAAATAACATTTCTTATGTCTTTCTTATGAATTTTTTCTTTACATTTTGATCATTTGTCGGAAACTCCAACATCGGACCACTGCCATACAAACTAATTGATCAAAACCAAATCCTTATAGCTAATACTTTTTTATTTAACAAAAAATTTGGAGCGAAAAAATTGGACGTTCCGAAAATGCAGAAAAAGTCATTAAAAAATAAAGTTTATTTAGATAAGATTAGCTTTAGATAGGTGGACGATTTATATTTCCAGTAATTAATTAATATTTTGAGAACAAAAATTAGCATTTTTTTTTTCTAAAAATTCGTATAAAAAAATTGCACATTCTTTAGCAATAATCGGACGAGTCAAAAACATCAATATCAATTCGCAACTAAAATATATATTATTTATTGTTTACTTTAAATAAATAGGGTTAAGGATACCATATTATGGAATTCGTTATTTCCCAGGCTTTGATTTTATTGGAGACGCCCTAATAGTTTCAGTTTTTTCTCCAAAAAATCATTATCCAACGTAAAAAACCTTTCTATTTTAAATTTAAACAATGCCTCATAATTACTTTATTTTTACCATGTATTTTATATTTTTAACTTTTGCATTGCATTTTTTATATACAGAGTAAACAAACTTTAAAAAGAGAATATTCTACTGTCTTCATATAGTACAACATGTCGTATGAGCAACTTCTCAAAATCCACTTGTATGAAGTGTGAAAATGTTTTTATCAAAAAATAATTCGCACCTTTTTTGAATAGCGCTAAATATTGTAATTTCATATTTTCAAAATTGTAGGGTTGGAGTTAAAAAATTTAATGCAAAAGATCTAAAAATTCCATGTAAAATTCACGGCTTAATGAAAATATAGAGCTTATGTACATTGAATAATTTTTTTAATGCAAAACATGAAACTTCACGGGACGTTTGCAAAAAAAAATCAACTTCGGAAATGACATAGTGCATAGACTTAAGGGATCGTCTCAGAATGACCCTCCGAAAAATCACAAATTTTCGCGATTTTTTTTTTTTAATGTGCGAATCAACTAATAAGCCCGATTTTGTTTTTAATAAATACATTCAAGAAGAATACGAAATGAACGAAATTTGCCCTTTTTCCGACAGTTTTTCGTAGAAAAAATAGGAAGATTAAACAAAAAAAAGAAATAAAGGGTTAAATAGCGCGATAGCGAATCACGTTAAAAATGTCCAAATTGGATATTTTCAAAACTCTTCCTTTTTGAGAGTGGAAACCGTTTTGAAAAACACCATTCTGAGAAAAACGCGTTTAAGGATTGTAGTTGCAGTGAACTTTGATTTCAAAATTTGAGAGATTGTTTATTACAATGTATACTATCCGATAATGCAAAAAAAAAAAAATTATTTCTCGAAAATTTCGCACTGAGTATATACATATGTAACTATGTGTATCATTGTATGTAGCAAATGTAAATCTCTAGACGAATTGATGTCAAAACATATAGCAAATGAAATTGGAAATAAGAAATATGTATAAACGTGCATTCATATAAACGTAATGAACAATAAAGCAAATAAATTGAGATTATGAAAACGAGAGATATTAAAAAAAGTTCGAAAGAAATGGAAAGCTAGAGAAGCTGATGTTGATAAAAATGAGGTTTACGCGTAGAGCTTTATGAATCTATGACAAACAAAAAGTATTCATAATATGTAAAACTGCGCGTGATATAAATATTGACAAGCAGGTGATCGCAATGGTCGTACGATAAGTTAGTAACAAGTAATCAGTATGAAGGCGGCTTGCTAGCCATTTGAGGTATGTAAATATGTATGTATGTATGTGTAACATGTGATTTGTTGACGCTTGTAGTGGATGAGTGTTTGATGCAACTGCTAAGTCAAGTTAAGCGAAGATACTTTTATAGTAAAATAACTGTAGCGAAGCAGGTGAATAGTGAAGGCACCAAAATCAACGTTAAGAGGCGTAGTTGCATACATACTTGAATTTACATTGTTAAAATATTACATATGAAGCTTAAGATACATATGTATCTACAATTTACATATTTACTTTGCTAAGCAATAAAAATATGGATATATCGACAATAAATATATATCTATATACATATGTACATACTTAACGAGAAGTATGTATGTGTTTTATATAAAACGAGCAAAAAAGCATTTGTGTTTGTATCAAATTCATCAGTACTTCACTTACTTCAAACTAGCCGCTTTACTTTTGATGCTATTGTTGGTGCCACCACCAGCGGTTTTGTTGCTGCCATTGCTGCTCTCCGAAAGCGTAGGCGATGATGCCTTACTATTGCTGTGATTTGCCGCCAACGGACTAGCGCGTATACCAGCTGACGACGCGTTGATACCTCTCGTTTTCTCCAACACCGAGTCGGAGGCGCTCTGCTTATTTGTGCATTGTTAAGATATAGCGAAAGAGAGAAAACAAAACAAATAAATATTATGAATACAATAAGTAAAGCAAAAAAGGAAAATGTTTAATAATAATTTTTCAATAAGTTTAAGCGCATATACAAATATATTATATATATAGCCTAAATGATATATTGCTACGATTTGACGCTTTGATTACTAATATTTTTAGCTTTACATCAAATCTCTTACAATTTTTTATTTTATATCTATAAAATTTAAAATTCGATTTCTATAAAATTTTTTTTAGTGCGGTATATTTTTTTTTTTTTTTTATACAAATGATTGTACTAACAACATAATATTTTACTTACATAATCCTAAATTTCGAAATTTTATTATTTAGATAAAATTATTTAAATAAACTTATGTGGCAAATAGAAATCTGTTATTTAAAAATAAACGTATCCCTAGAAATATTACTTGCTTCCGCCCCCGAATATTCTAATTGGTATTTAGGAGATATCCATCAATGTGTCAATCAGCCATAGTTTAGTTAGTGTGGATGTATATAACCCCATTTATTATTCGTGTTCGTGATATAGCAGAATTTAATAAGATTTGGAAAACAAAAACTTTCAAAGTATTTCTAGCATAATCTGTTAGAAGAAATTTTAATCATTCAGTTTGTATGGCAGCTATGTACTACAGTGGTCCGACATCGGTAGTATCGAAAAATGAGCGGCTTCTAGCGAAGAATAAAGTGTGTGCAATTTTTCAGATTCATATCTCAAAAACTGAGATACTAATTCACGTATATACAGATGGACAGACAGAGCGGCTCAGCTTAGTAATCTGATCATTTATATATATGTATATACATATAATAATTCTAAAATTATAATTTAACATAGAATTATTTTTTATATTACCTATTCTTGCCCCATAAATATTTTGAAGTCTATTTAGTGATTTTTACGTGAAAAGTTTTCATCTAACAGTTTCCAATTTTTTTGTAAAAAAAAACTATTTACATATATTATATTATATCATCAATCTCGACATTTAGGCTTTTTATTCATAAGCGTAGCGTTTTATGTTTAAAATATTAGCAGTCATGATTTTTTCCTAACCGTACAAAGCATAAGATCCATTATTACACTTAAGTACACATAAGATTTCAGCATTCTCGTAAACTGCCTTAAAACGGCAACGCTTAACTTAAAAGAAAATACGATTTCCTTATTAGCGAACGCTTCTAATTGTAGACGCCACAGTCGTACGCACTTTAGATGCAAATGACACGCCAAATATAGTGCATATTTATAATGATTTCATAACACTTCCAATGTCAAATTTATTTATKTATTCAGAAGCGGTGTGGAAAACTACATGAATTGGCTACACCTTCTACAGCTGTATAAATCTGCTAATAAATTCTCCAACACAGACACTGAAATAGAATTTTGTAAATCTTATACTACAATTTTATGTGATCATGTACGAATACTTGTAGACAACTTTTAAGTGTATGTAATTTATGCAAATGCGCAAATGAGTGCAGTGATGAGCAAAATTGTTTGCGTTAGTTAAAATAAGTAATGTGCTATCATAAATAGTTTAGTGTTGAGCTGTTTTCATAATTGTAATGTATGGCCTAATTAATAAAGCTGCGATTTATTTAAAAAAAAAACTATTTGATTAAGAAACAAGAAAAAGTCGTAAATTTAGACTGCACCGAAGCTACTAAATACCCCACACAGATGTATTTATTATAAAATAAAATAGTATAAATAGACTGTTATCTTTATTTTGGACAGGCAGCGTATGGCAGTTATATGCTGTAGTGGTCTGATATAAACATGTCGAAACAAGACAGCACCTCCGTAGACAACAATATGTCGAAATCATTGAATATAACTTGTCAAATAAAGAAGGTTTCGTATAAAGTCTTGATTTTGATCGTTCAGTTTGAATATATTATGTATGCTATAATAGTCTTATCTGAACAATTTGTTCAAAGATTGTGGAGATATAAATAAATAAAATTTCCATACAAGAACTTGATTTTGCTCGTTCAGCTTGTGTGAGATACATATATGCTACAGTGGTCCGACATCGGTGATTCCGACAAATGAGCAGCTACTTTTGGAGAAAAAATGTGTGAAAAATTTTAGATCGATATCTCAAAAACTGAGGAATTAGTTCGTATATATGTATGTATTTATGTGACAGAGGGACGGACCTGGCTAAATTAACTAAGACCGTTAGGCTGATATTTATATATACTTATATGACAACTTTTACAGAAGTACTGCTCTAATTTTGGACAACACTGTGCGCTGATGTGGTTTATTTGAAAAAAACTTTTGTAAACGTACGCTACACAGAAACACCAACAGAAGCCAACTGCTACTAGAAATCACTACAAAATTGTCTCACCACTTATTTGTTAATATCTAGTTTTGTCATTCACATATATTTGTTTATATTTATACCCTGAACAGGGCATATTAATTTGTCACGAAGTTTGTAACACCCAGAAGGGAGCGTCGGGGACCCTATAAAGTATATATTTAAATGATTAGTATGTTGAGCTGACTCGATTTAGCCATGTCCGTCTGTGTGTGTATATACGAACTAGTCCCTCAGTTTTTAAGATATAGTTTTGAAATTTTACAAACGTCATTCTCTTCAAGAATCTGCTCATTTGTCGGAACTGCCGATATCGGACCACTATAACACATAGCTGCCATACAAACTGAACGATCGGAATTAGGTTCTTGTATGGAAAACTTTCACATTTCACAATATACCTTCACAAAAGTTGGCATAGGTTACTTAAATAATAATAATAATTAAGATAATAATGTATTATACGAAGAAATTGTTCAGATCGCTTTACTATAGCATATAGCTGCTATACAAACTGAACGATCGTAATCTAGTGCTGTTATGGAAAACTTTTGCATTTTATAAGATATATTCACGAAATTTGGTATGAGTTATTATTCCTAGAAATAATGTAACCTCCGATGAAATTGTTCACATCGGATTACTATAGCATATTGCTTCCATAGATTTACTTAAACACATAGTTACTAACAGAAATGCACCTGTAAAGGATATATTAGCTTTGGTACAGCCGAAGTGAAAGTTTTTTCTTCTTTTTTATTTTCGTTTTGCATATTTTTTGTAGTTTTTCTTATTCTCATGTCATAATTTAGCATGCATTGTATTTACCGTTGAGAGATTCTTCGGTGGCGTCGATGGCGGCTGCGGTGGTGGTCCACGATTTGTACGTAAATTCGCCTCAGTCGCATTGACCGGCTGTTGTAGCTGCTGTTGCTTCTGCCGCTTCAGTGTCAAATGCTTTGTTAGTTCAGCATTGAAATCTAATGGACCATTACTGCTGCAGTTATTTCCGCTGTTGGCGTTCGCTGGTGGCGATGTGTCGTTGCGTCTACTCGCTGCGGACGAATCGTTATTGGTAGCCGTTGGGATTGCCGGAGCTTGGGCTGAATATGTCATGTAGGAAATTGTAAAAGTAGAAAAAAATACATCACACAAACACACATATCAATAAGAACATAAATCGGAAAATACAATTGGTGTGTAATGCAGAAATCGGCGTTGTTGTTACTCACCACGATTACTGCCATTGACTGGCTTCAGTTTGGGCATTGAGGTCAGCCCTTCGAATAGGCCACCCAATTTTGGTGCGCCATTGCCCACATTATTGTTATTGCTATTACTGATATTGTTGTTGTTATTATTATTGTTGTGTATTCGTTTCGGTGAACTCGTTGCGGATGGCGTTGAATCACAAATCTGTGCGTAATAGGAAAAATAAAGAAAAACAACACTGGTTAGTTACATGCATATGTGAAATGAAAAGTAATTAATTCACAAAGGCTCAGTTTTATCGCAAAAGACACACCTTTCCTGCTAGGGCTGGTCCGCTTTTATCAACTGTTGTAGTCTTTTTCAGTTTAGTGCCTTTTTGTATGGATTGTAGGAGCGCTGAACGCATATCTCCGCCACCAGCACCACCTAATTTGAGACCTCCCATAGCCGGAGGCGGTGGTGGCCCTGGTGGCGGCGGTGGACCTGGTGGTGGTGGTATAGCCATCTGCAAATCGAAAGAAAGCATATTTGGTTATTTAAGTGCAATTCAATAATATTTAAAAATGTAAGAAAATATAAAGCCTCGTTTCACTATGTAATTTTACCAACTAACTATAAAGTAACTTATTGCTGAAAATACGCCCACAAGAATAAATCCAAGAGCGAGGATTTTACGTCAATCCGCCTCTAGAATAACACGATTTTTTTATCACCTAAAACAGTCGTCGCACTCGCGACTTGGCACTCACGTCGCTGTTGACAGTCATAACTTTGAAGTTGTAGATAATTTCGTCTATCTTGGAACCAGCGTAAACACCACCAACAATGTCAGCCTAGAAATCCAACGCAGGATAACTCTTGCCAACAGGTGCTACTTCGGACTGAATAGGCAATTGAGAAGCAAAGTCCTCTCTCGACAAACAAAAACCAAACTCTATAAGTCACTCATAATACCCGTCCTGCTATATGGTGCAGAGGCTTGGACGATGACAACAACTGATGAGTCGACGTTGCGAGTTTTCGAGAGAAAAGTTCTGCGAAAGATCTATGGTCCCTTGCGCGTTGGCCACGGCGAATATCGCATTCGATGGAACGATGAGCTGTACGAGATATACGACGACATTGACATAGTTCAGCGAATTAAAAGACAGCGGCTACGCTGGCTAGGTCATGTTGTCCGGATTGACGAAAACGCTCCAGCTTTGAAAGTATTCGACGCAGTACCCGCCGGGGGAAGCAGAGGAAGAGGAAGACCTCCACTCCGTTGGAAGGACCAAGTGGCTTCACTTGGAATATCTAATTGGCGCCACGTAGCGAAAAGAAGAAACGACTGGCGCGCTGTTGTTAACTCGGCTATAATCGCGTAAGCGGTGTCTACGCCAATCAAGAAGAAGAAGAAATTGGTTCGGAACCTAGCATTCATTTACGTCATCCGTTTATTAACACCTAGCGAATTTACCTTTGACTTTGATGGCTGCGGGCAACTACTGTCATTTCCAAATATATTGCTTAGGGTCTTGGTCCATTCCAGGGACAAAGATGTTAGTTACTTTCGGGTGCTTAAAATAACTTATAGTCGTATTTAGAAAATAAGGCGATCTGTTTTCAAAAAGTAACTGAATTTCTTTGAATATTTGTTCAGAAAGTTTTATTGAAGAACTAGTTTTTAGAAAAAAATAATAAACTTTTACCATGGAAATAATATATCAACGAACACGGGGAGTCGTTGAAAATGTTGCAGAAGTATTTTAGAGAGTTTACTTAATCACGAACAGAAGTATTTGAGTGGCATTCATCGAAAACTTGTCTCTTGCGACTCATCCATCCACCTCTCTTAATAATGATAATATTGAACAAGTTGAAGAAGCATTAGTTTAATTTTCGTGCCTTCATGAGAAAGATAACAGAGGACCTCAAGATCTCTTTTGGATCGACTCGATAATTTTGGTTAATGTTTTGTGTAGGAAGCGTGTCAATGCTAGACCCAAACACCAGAATCTTTTGTAAACGTCGAGCAGAGGTTTTTACCAGGGTAATGCACCGTCACATGGTAGCATTGATTGTGACCGAGTTTTCGGACAAATACGAAACGAGAGTCATCGCACAGCCACCGTACTCACCAGAATTGGCTCCCGTCACAATATTTTGGTATCGACTTTAAAAATACTTTGGAGATCGCGTCGTGAGTCATTGAAGTTAAAGTTATTGGGTGCAGGTCAGCGCGCCGGGGTTTAAGTATAACAAATGTATGGAAAATTGGATGAAGCGTTGGCTTGTATTTCCTTAAAAGGAGTCTATTTTGAAAGTATTAGTAAACATTTGTGTTAAAATACGTAACATGTTTTTATTTTTGTTAATCCGGGTAAATTCTGATCAGAGAGCACATACATCTATCGAATCATATCGGATTATACATTTCAATTTCCATACACGTATTTTTGTCTACAAAAATAAACCAAATATATGAATTGAAGACATATTTCACGCCTCTATACACTATAAAAGTTTTTTTTTACGACTTCCTTCGAAGAAATTTCATATAATTGGCAAGTAATATCCGCATTAACACCATTTTATGTAAGTTTAATCTTTCTTGTTAAACACAGCCATATAATTTTGCTAATTTAAGCTTTAGCTTTAAATTACAGGAGGACCGAAAATAAAAGTGGTAACAAAACTCTACAACTCTAAAAGGCAAGCAATGTAATAGAAGCATCCGGCACAAAAATATTTGGTATTAATGAAAAAGGTTGCAAGAACATTTAGCGGACAAGTAACTTTGATTTCCGGTGCTTCAGTGATTTATTTTTATTTTAAATATTTTGATGTATCAACACTTGTCTTTTCCTCGCATATATGTATTTTTTAGCAAGTGAAATACGCAAGGAAGTAGAAAATTAAAAAAAAGGCATTTGAACCTGAAAAATGTATGTATGTATGTCTGGGCATTAAGCTGAAACACGCGTTTTGCATACCAAATCAATCTAGAGAATCGACGAACGAACTTGTTATTTATTTGTTAGTGCTGCACAATCATATAAGACACTAAATATGAGCGGAGAATCGTAGGTCGTATGGATCGTATAAACAAAGCACAATAAAAATGACAATGACAAGAAGTGGAAAGCAAACACAAAAAAACTTTAAATGCCCACATGCACAGAATAAACTTATTTATTTTTATAGTGTTACGTGAGTCATCCAATGAATGAAATATTCAAATAAATAGAGAAAAATAATTGAGTAAATTTACAACTCACTTTAGAAACTGTTATTGAAAATATAAATAATAAAAAAAAACAACGTGCAAGTTGTAAAAGTGCATTATGACTAAGCCATCCAATGAGCTGTGTGTGGCAACTGTGATCGATTTTCAAAGTCGATTATTTCATACCATTTACCTTGTTGGAAGTTTCTTGACAATTTCAACTTTTTATATTTAACAGTGCTTATATTTGTGAATAAGTGTTAATTTCGAATAAAAATTGACAAAAAGTGCAAATTTTTTCTCAGCAACTATTTTATTGTCAGCTTCAACAAAACACGCTGCAATCGTTGCGCGTTTGAGTATCACACCAGATTTTATTTATATTCGAGCGAAAAATTTATAAACAAATAGACCTTTATTGCGCACACTTAATCACAGGTGAGTCAGCAGCAATGTGCATGCTGCTGGACTGACTTAGTATACGAAAAATTAATTAAAAACAACCGGAATGTGCGAAATATTTTTGTTGTGCAAACTTTTTCACTGGCAGTGAAATAAAAACACGACACACGCAAAGCACTGATCTATAGCTAATTGCCAAATGTTTTTTGGCAGATCTGTTTTGTTTATTTTATTTTTTTAAATTGCTTGCTTCAATATATTTATAATATTTTCACTTGTTTGGCGCGTCTCAATCACAAACGCTGCCAGCACCATTACTCAATTTCATTTGTTTTCTGCAAATTTACTAAACACTCAATTAGCTAGTAAATGAAAAGTTTTAGTACACCACACGCACGCGCATTAACACAACAACGGTCTCGCGTTCAACGTTCAAATGGCAACACGCCGTGCCGCAAATGTCTCGAAAAGCGACACAACACAACAAACTGGGGACTGCGATTACTTGGCTAATCGCACACTCACGCACATGCAAGCCAACGAGTAGAAGGCATCAGCAACGTCATCACCAGCGGCGTCAACGGGATGACGAAGAAGCTAAAAAGCCGAGCGCGGGTTAGCTAGTAATAAGCCAACAACATAGCATATAAGTAAGCGTGCACTGAGGTGCTGACGCTGCGGGAGCAAGAAAAGACTGTGGCGCGCGTGTTTATCTTGGGGAATTATACAAAACGTACACTTAGCGATGTCTCAGCGTTAAATGATCGCGAGCAAAATAATGACTAACAGCTTATGCTCTATACGATTCTCTGTAAATTGTGGTGTTATGTGTAGTTCCTGCAGGCGGCGCGTGCCCACATTGATATGCTGCGTTTACCTCTGGCTTAGTCTGAGGCTTATAAGAATATGACGTCAGTGACAATATTGCTAATTGTGCAAAGAGCTAGCGAGTTGCATACATATGTATACATTGACATTATGTTTGATGAGCTGTTTATGTAGCGACAGACTTAAATCAGTTACAGTTGTGTGCCATAGAAAATAAACGCAAAAGGCAATAAACGCCAGGCAAGAAAAAAAAACGATTGCGAGGATAGACTCATTAATGAAGCAATTCGCGAATTTGTAACAATTTAAGTCACTAAACTAAACCTGATTGGAAATAGAAAAAACTATAATGAATTGCGAACTTTCTTTTGGTGCCACTAACATAGCAGTAGATCTCCTTCCCCGGAACACAGTCGCCTTCAAAGAAATAACTATTCAATCTTATAGGACGGCAGTAAATCTAATTGAAGGAGTTACTTTTCCAGTTTCAACCGAACCTATAAAGTTACCGTGAAAGTGTAAAAAATTGTGCAAATCAATTGGTAGCCTGGTACGACATTCAAAAATTTTCAAAGTTTGCTAGCCAATGTTTATAACGAAGAGATTATGCGAGCTTCTTAAGTTGCGCCACGGTAAATTTCAGTATGAGTTGGAGGCCTGCATGACGGTAGAAAATCTTTTAATATGTGATTTGTCGAGGAACCTTCGAATATAACTATGAAATAGTTACGAAAAATTCCAGCGAAACTATTGGACCGATCAATTTCAAATATTCAGTAAAAGATGTGAATATTCTTGCATCAAGTTGCTACAAAGTACAATTGTTTTGTTCACCTAACGGTATATGTATCACCTAAAACTAATCGAGATAAAGTTATATATACAAATGATTAGGATGACGAGACGAGTTGAAATCCGGGGGACTGTCTGTCTGTCCTTCCATCCGTCCGTTCAAACTGTAACTTGAGTAAGAATGAAGGTATCTTAAAGAAATTTGATACAAATTTTACTTGGTAAAAAAATAAGGCGGACTACTGCCACTAACACAAAACATCATCAACCAATCA